ATGGGACCCAAGGACAGAAGCTATTATGAAGCTCAGATGTCCAAGTTGATAAAGTTTTATCCGTCATAAAAAAGTTTCTTATTGGAAATTAGTCATTACAGTTTATTTATTACGACCAAACATTATACTTATACTGTAAAACCTAAACGTCAGAAAAGAGCATTGTGAAATTTTTTCAAATTTAAGGTTCTGGTAACCCGATCACTATGCTAATATCAAATATATTATTCAACTAGAGTGAATTTGTCCTCCCCGTTTACTTAATCAATATTCCCAGTTAGAAAATTCTTTTTGCTTGGCAAGCTGTTATAAAGTGCATTATCGTTCCGTAACGTCCCGTTTGGATCGTCAAAATGTTCCGAAACATATTAATTTTTCTTTAGCAAATATTATTTTTTTATTGGACAACTGTCCCGACTTATTTCTCTAAATTGACCGCCAAACCTGTTTGTGGATTATCATCTTGATATAGATAACGTTGATTCTTATCTGCAGATATAGTTAAGTCGACGATCCTCCACGAACAAGTTGTTCTAATTGGGGTTGTTCTTATCTTTAGATAAGAGAGAACTATTTATTTTGAAATAAAGAGATCAATTTGTACAACCGTCGCACAAGATAGCGGTTAGCATACATTTTGCAAGTTTAGTGTAACTATGAAATTGAAAATTGATTTGCTTCGATAATAAAATGAAGAATATTCAAAATACTAGCGGATCAACATGCTATGAACCAAAAAACGAACAATAGCTTGGTATGTACTCTGATAGCGTCGACAAGAAAAAATTTTCGTAATGGCTTGGAAAAATTAATATCCGATAACGATAAGACTTGGCAGCAACGCTAAAACCACATGCGTTTGCGGAACGCTTGCTTGCATTCCGGAATGAGATAACGCCAAATGTTGGAACCAATAGTACCATGACGAGAAATAAATTACTAGACGCTATCATTGCGTTTCAGGGTATTCGGATAACCTATCGGATGTGTATCATCTGTGTAATATTACTTGCCAGAATTTACGCCCTCTCAACATAGAATCTACCCTAAGTGATACAAGAGCAGGATAATGCTTGTCAAAGAGGGTGCTTTCCTGTTCCTGTTCTGCAGCTGTCTCATGCAGATCGCTCGTTCTGATAACAAATTGGTTACTAATCATACCGTGTAACATAAATAAACGCGTTACAGTGCAGTTTTTCTATTTCAGACCTGCTTATCAGTATACTTAAAAAATTAAGTGTGTGACCTTACTTTGAAAGTCAAGTTGTTTGGTAAACAAGCGCTTACGAGCGCCACATGTCTATGGCATGTGTAAGTAAACAGACCATTATACTGGTACTAATACATTGTATATACCGAATGTATTGAAAGATACCCCCCCCCTCAGCACGTAATATGTTGTGTGGTGATTGATATAATTTATCACTCATCATCTTCTCGTCATCAATCGCAACATACCACGCTCCTAATCAGTTTGTTAGTGCTAGCATTCATATAACGAAATAATTGCACTCGACCTTGTAGACAACATGGAAACGAATGGGCTAACGAACAAAGAGACGGTTGTCGTGATTGGATTGGGAATGGTGGGACTGTCATTTATTGAGAAGTTGTTAAAGTATGATACGAATAAGAGATACAGAATTGTAACTTTTTGCGAAGAAAGTTTAGGTAATTACTAACATTAAAACGAGTAATAATAGTGAGAAAACTAAAAATGAAAACAAAACGCGGTTTTATGCATGATTCATGAGAATGTAATTAATAATTTACTCACACTCCCCCCCCCCCCATTTTTTTTTTCATTTTTCCTTTGTCACAAGTCGCATACAACAGGGTAGGGCTGACCCAATACTTCTCTCACCGGTCTTCCGCTCGTCTTCTTCTCCAGCCTCCCGAATGGTATTCCGACAACTCAATCACGCTGTACACATCAGAATCAGCATCTTCCATTTCCACAACTACGAAAACAGTCGTCTCATCATCCGGTAGAGAGATCCAGTATGATAAGTGTATCATAGCCACAGGCTCCGATCCATTTGTCCCGCCCATCAAAAACCACAATGCCAAAGGTTGTTTCGTTTACAGAACCATTGATGATCTGAACAATATAATAAGCTGGAGTAAAAATGCTAAAAGAGGTGCAGTCATCGGAGGAGGGTTACTAGGACTTGAAGCCGCCAAAGCATTGCTGGATCTGGGGTTAGAAGTAACCATCATAGAACGAAACAGCCACTTGTTATCACGGCAAATCGACAATGAGGGTGGTCTAATGCTCGAAAGCGAAATCGAGAAAATAGGTATCAAGAAAGTTCTCCAGAACAGCCCGCGACAAATCGAAATCGACGACACTGGCAAAATAACTGGCATAACATACAGTGACGGTCGCTTTGATGAATTCCAAATCATTGTCATTGCTGCTGGCATTCGACCGCGCGACAGCATTGCGCGAGCTTCTAATATCGATACTCATCCACGTGGTGGTATTCAAGTTGACGATAGGCTGCAGACAAACGATCCTCATGTTTACGCTATTGGCGAAGTCGCTTTACACCGTGGGGTCGTGTATGGACTGGTAGCACCTGGTTACGAAATGGCAGATATCGTAGCGGCTAATTTGACATCCAAGGCAAGGGATAGAAAGTTCAAGGGTGGTGACTTGTCATCCAAGTTAAAACTTTTGGGTGTGCATGTTGCTAGTTTTGGTAATTATTTCGCAAAAGAGGATGAGGCCATGCCGTTGACTTATAAAGATCCCTTTGGCGCTGTATATAAGAAGTACTTGTTTACCAAGGATGGAAAACATCTGTTGGGCGGTATTATGGTTGGAGATACAGACGATTATGCCAAATTGCATGCTTTATGGAAAAGTAAGAAACCATTGACGATGGTTCCGGGAGAGTTAATTTTGGGAGTCAAGTCGGGGCAGGCACCTGGGATGGACGAGTTACCAGATGAAGCTCAGGTTTGGTAAGTATGACGACTGATCCATATGTTTGATAAACGAGGAAAATGAATAATATCATTCACACGACTAACCGAAATCTTGTTTCTCAAAATATAATTTGAAAGTTCGTGCAACAACGTTTCAAAAGGCGAAATACGTGAATCAGTTCGAACAGGCAACTGCCGCTCCATAGGTGAAGTCAAATCATGCACAAAAGCGGGTACCGGTTGTGGTGGATGTCTCCCAGATGTCCAAGAAATTTTTGCGGCAGAGATGAAAGCATGTGGCCACAAAGTTACCCAAAATCTCTGTCCACACTTTGATTATACGCGTGTTGAACTATTCCAAATTATCAAGATTAAGCAATTGAAAAGCTTTAGGGAGATTATCGATACCGCTGGGAAGAAGGGCTCGCATGGATGTGAAGTATGCAAGCCAGCCATAGCATCCATATTGGCCAGTTTATGGAACGATCATATACTCGATCATGCCAATTTACAAGATACGAACGATAGGTTCCTGGCCAATATTCAACGTGGAGGAAGTTATTCGGTAATACCGCGCGTGCCGGGTGGTGAGATTACTCCAGAAAAACTCATTGTTCTCGGAGAAGTGGCCAAGAAATACAATCTGTACACCAAAATTACCGGCGGACAACGTGTCGACCTCTTCGGGGCTAATAAGCAAGACCTGCCGGATATCTGGGAACAACTGGTTAACTCCGGGTTCGAATCCGGGCATGCTTATGGCAAGGCATTACGAACAGTTAAATCGTGTGTGGGATCGACTTGGTGTCGATATGGAATCGGGGACTCGGTCGGGTTTGCCATTAAGGTCGAGAACAGATACAAGGGAATAAGGTCGCCTCATAAACTTAAGGGAGGTGTTTCTGGGTGCATTCGGGAATGTGCCGAGGCACAAGGAAAAGACTTTGGCATGATTGCAACAGACAAAGGATTCAATCTGTACGTTTGCGGAAATGGCGGAGCGAAACCTAAACATGCAGTACTTTTAGCCAGAGACATTTCAGAAGAACTGTGTATAAAGTATCTGGATAGATTTTTGATGTACTACATACACACGGCCGATCGACTCACGCGCACCGCACGATGGTTAGAGAAACTGGAAGGTGGAATTGAGGTATGTTGTATATAATGCGTGATAAACTGTAATTGTTTCCGTTCGCATGACCAATAACACTCGGAAATATATGCACATTACGTAAATTTAGTATCTAAGAAGAGTCGTAATAGATGATTACTTGGGCATCTGTGCAGAACTAGAAGCGGACATGGCGCGTCTTATCAACACGTACCAATGTGAATGGGCGACGGTAGTTCGTGATCCTAAACGACGAGCCGAGTTTCGACAGTTTGTCAATACAAGCGAAAACCAGACTCTTATTGAATTTGTCGACGAGCGCGGTCAAAACCGTCCTGCTGATTGGCCCAAGGAATTCCCCAAAACAGAAGAAACTGAACGGATGGCCGCAAAAAATGCACCCGTCAATGGAAAAACATGGATGAAGATTGCTCATGTTGACTCGTTCCCCGAAGACGCCGGAGATGTTATTAAATACGGAGACGTGCAAATAGCCATCTTCAATAGTCATAATAAGACAAAGTGGTATGCAACTCAAAACATGTGCCCGCACAAGCGAGCATTTGTTTTGTCACAGGGAATTGTTGGAGATGACGAGAATGGAGTTTTGAAAGTGAGTTGCCCCATGCATAAGAAGAACTTTGCTCTCGAGACGGGAGATTGTCTGACTGATGGACCAGACTTGAAATTGATGACTTTCGATGTAAAAATCGAGAATGAGCACGTTTGGTTATTGGTTCCACCGACGGAAGAATTGGACAAGTTACTTGGTACAAGTAAGTGGATGGTTAAAAAGCATCATGTTAGGAAGGAGAAAAATATCAACATTATTGAAAGAGTTGGTCAGGAAGTTGCATGTGGCGGATGCGGAGATAGTAAATTGGATTGGTGATGAAGTACACGATCGAGAGATTACTATTGTATATTCGTGTGTGCAATTTTATTTATTTTACTTTAGTAGTAGTTAGTTCGATCATTAAAAGTAATTATATAGCACATACAAAAAATGTCAAAAATTTCATTTAATAAAAAAACATGTTTACCCTTCCACAAAATAAAACTATTTTCTCTATTTTGCTTCGTCGTTAGTTTTCATAGCGAGTCGAGTCGCCCTTTTTTTGTCGCAGATTTGACAAATCTGATTAATTGTTTAAACTGAGGTTTGGTGATTTTTTCCAGATATAGCATAGTGTTTGCGTTCACGTTCTTCAATGATTGCTCACCAAGAATCCCGAATAATTCATATACTCGGACACTAAGTTTACCCCGCCTCTTCATCAACCTGTAAGAAGTCTTTAAATACATTTTCTGCTCTTCGTAATGAATCAGTTCAGGGCGGCGTGATAGATAACGGACAAGAGATCCGTACTTGAAAGCAAAAATAAAATAATTGCGACGAGAATTTTTTTGCTTCATACCATCATAATATATTTGCAGATGCTCAAGAATCTCAGATTTTGGGGTTGTCTTCTCAATACGAAATACCTCGGGTATTTTCGGAATGCGGTTAAATATCCCTTCAAGCAGCAGACAGAGCTCGCGATAATCACAGACGCTGAGAAATGAGATAGACTCGGGGATCAGTTGATACCCGTTATCATCATATAAAGAACGTGGTATAGAACTCGTTCCTGACACAACAGATGCATCTTCAGATATTTGAATGCCAATTTTTTTGCTTTTCATCTTCGCTTGACGTGTAGGAATATTCTCGAACTGTTTGTGCGCGCGTTTTCTACCATTCCCACCACGTTCGGAACATTCAATTTCTTCGTCATTATTTCCTCCGTTGACCAAACCATCCTTTTTTCTTGAATTGTTAGCAACCACCGCAGAACCCTCAGCGGATTGCTTTAAAAGCGAGCGAGTCTCAGGATCCTTCTCAATGAACTTACAAGTACCATATTGATCATCTATGTTATCGTAATCAAGATCGGGAGTAGAGTCTTCGAAATCAGATACGGAAAGTAAGACACGTAAGTATAAAATTGAGTGAAAATCGATTGTAATGCTTTGGTGACCGGATTGCCAGACGCGATCGTTTTCGACAATTGTATTTTTTTTTGCATCTTGAAAGTGAGACATTATGTCGAATAATTGTATGGTGTAATGGGCGGGAGATTTGGAGGGGCGAAAAGTGGTTTATATATTCTTTGAGTCAGGGTTCGGTGGCAAAATATAGTGCGTAATCGAGTATGATTTGTAACGAAATTATCACCATTATGACCACAATAGCGACATTGAAAAAGGAGTTATAGTTTAAGGATTACATGATTGGAATAAGACAGGAGGTTTGTGTTGATGTTATAAAAATGATGCATCTTTATTGTAACAATAGTTATGACTGCAGACATTCATTCTCCTAAAATATCATCCAATAACTTTTCCATATCATTAACGTTTGTCACTATATTGTTACTGATTTTGCTAGAAGAACTGGGAGTCGACGGTTTTCTTGTTCGCGACCTTGCAGGTTGAGTGGCTTCTGTTACAACTAGACAAAGAAAATACACAACCATGTGAGCATTTATTATTACCAATGGTAAGTTTTAAACCTAGTATTTGCACACACCATTCTCATCTAGTGACTTCAAGAAATCATCAATAACTTCTTCGTCTTTGATTTTCATTGTTGTGGATTCCAACCTCGAAGGCTGTGATACTATATAACCTTAGGAATGTGATTTGTCATCATCGATAATATTGATAATTATAGTATCGAGCGTAAAAGTTATTAGTGGCTTTATAAATAAGTACCTCGCGTCGTTGGCTTTTCTGCCTGGGCCAGCGGTCGGATTGTATTTCCATCTTGAGACTTCTTTGTTAAGATTTCGTCAACTGATCTTATCGATCTTGGCATTATTGGCCCTAAAATGTTTAACATCTCATTGAACCCCTTTCTCATAAATTTCAAGAATCTAGTTATTTGCTGGCGGACATTTACGTTTATCAAAAAGTTACGTTACATACCCCAAGACCACCGTTGCCCAAATTGAGTCTGTCTTCTAACGAAACAGTGCTTAACGAAAGCTCTAGATCATCCAAGTGAATGTTCACAAGATCGTTGTAAACCTGTAGAATATGATTATCAATTTATTCACGATGTGATTAGAAAAGGATTGATATCAGCCGTACCTCATCAGTATTTTGAGTATCTTCAACTAATTTTTTTTCTTCCTTAAACTGAAAATACGCTGATGGATCGTATGGTTCATTGTCTGTGATACAGAAGAATCTTAGCTTTGCAAAGTCTGTGTATGCAATAAAGTTACAACTTTTAATGGGGTAAATGCCTGCCTGACTTGGTAATCAGTGTCAAAAAATCAGCCGTCTTTTTATTAATATCATCTTCCCCGGCAGACTCTTTGAAATCAAACTGCGCGTTATGAAGCATGAAAAAAACGGTGAAAACAAATACCTTCCTACGTCTTCATACCGTCAGATATCGGATCCCTATATCTATATAAATTATTGCCAAGATTCCTCCGACGATAGGAATGTTTTGTAGCTATCAAATAAGGATATACATAATTAAGCTACATTCGATCAAAACTTTTATCATGGATACATACAAGTTTGCTCAACGTTCTTAGCTCCTTCTTTCCCTTCTCTTCCTCCTTCTTTTTCACATTCCTTTGTCTCACGTCTTCTTGCTTTTATTTGACGTTCTCTACGCTTTTCTTGTGCTTCCTTTGCTGCCTCTCCACCTTGTGAACGAAGTTTAGCATGATATCTTCGTGAATTTTCTTCTTTGTGTTGATCAGGTTTCATCGATATGTTAGTATGAATATTTGCGAACGACTGACGTATTCTAGCGGGTAAGCCGTTCCAAATGTAGATATGTACTAACCTAATTAATATAAGTGTCACAACGATTTATGCATGTGCAATGGTGTACCTAGTCATTTTTGCGAGTCATGTGATAGAATAGTAAACAAAAACCCCACCTAAATTTAGATTAGTGTCGGCGCGCTCCCGTGTCAGACCGAAACCCTATCGTCAAAACTTATGTTCGAACTGTTAATGTTAATATAAGCGCTTATTTATATTCATGAGATATTTAAATGAAAGAGTCTGTTAAATTAACTCTTACTGAAACATTAATTATTCGAACAAACGTCTACAAAGTTGTAAAAATGTTGATTAATTCTGCGTATAACGGAACGAGAGCTCATAATTAATATTGAAACGAAATTAGCCATGATATAATCTAAAAATAGAATTTCCCCTTCGATTCTGCGACATAATAAACCAAATTCAGAAGTAATTAGAGCAATTCCAACCACAAATACCAATGGCTAAAAATGCAGACTGTCCAGTATTGCTATGTGGATTAAAGTGATGGGAAATTGACATCTGCGGCCAACCATGTTGTCAACTGTGTAGTCGACACGAATACATATGTAGATTGTTGAATCCTCATATCGAGTTTATGGTAATCACTCTTCCTCATTTGGAAATGCGCTTTTCTTTCATCTACGCAGCCTTCTAGAGCACCACATATGATTCATTGGGATATCCACTATAACCGATCTATTACAAAATGAACTGGAATCTTCACGTTACGCTGAGACGTGGTTTGAGAGTCAACTTTAGCATATTAAGTGGGTTATATACCGCGGTACAGCGCTGCGATAAAATGTTTTGCAGATGAAGGCAGAGTATAGGCATACGCAGCGTAGATTTTATTCAGCATCAGTATGCTCGAAGGCCTTTATTGTTATTTTATCATTAACTGTTAGTATAAGCCTGTCGGAGCATAGCTAAACCATGTCGATAGTCATTTGCTCTCCCGTGACCGTCGACTCGACAATACTGTTTCTCTCTCTCTTCACCAGTGTCATTTTTTTTTAATTGGGCTCCGGAGCCCATGCTACAACCCTAAACAACTTTCTTTCCTTTGCTCAAAAGGTTATAAACGGTTCCATCTGTGATATGAAAACAAATATCAAATGAATCATGACTCGGAATGTATTTTTTAACCAAACCATGATGAAGCCACGATTATAGGGAAATCTTTATTTTCCAAATCGTAATTAAAATTTGAAAATTTAAAACCATAAATTGACGAGGTATTCGAAACCATTTCTTAAATCTTGGTGTTGCAAGAGTGCCACGTCTTTTTTTCCAGCGAAAGTCATTCCACGCTTGGATAGATTAAGGTCGAAGTTCAAAATAACTTTACTTCAATCGGAAAGGACATTGAGTAGATGATATCGAAACAATGCGTAGTTATAATGGAACATTGGAATCACATCACGGGTTAATATGTCTACTTGAATAACTCGTTCAAGTCCAAAAAGAATTTATTGAGACACACATGCTTAGCCAAAAATGAGTTCTATTATCACTCAATTGCAACAAGATATCGTTGTGCGTATACGCTACAACCATCCACTAGAATATTTGGTCAATTTATCCGATTCGGTTTTAACCTCTTTATATGTAGGTCGCAAATTTTTCAGCGGAGTATGAAACCGATATTCAACCATGATTTCTTTTTGAACGTCTATAATAACCAATGATGAAAGAACGTAAATGAGAGGATGAATAATGATGTATAAATTCCAAAACTATTGGCGCGTTCATCACTCTTATTTGTTACCGTCCATATTACCTTTTGGGAGAGCATCAAAAACATCCCGATCAAATTCACCATTCTTATCCAAATTCAGCCCTCGACTCTCGCCCTCGATTTTACTCTTCCATCTCGGAGGTTTCTGCATCGCAGTCTTCCTATCACGGTTTTTCTTATTGGCAGTTTTTTTAGAAACTTTGTAATTTGCTGTAATTGGGCGGGGATGGGGTAATTCATTCCATGTCTCTTGACATGGCGAGGCTTTCTCATTTGGCCTGTATTTCGTTGAATCTATTTCAGTGTCTTATCATATAGAGAAAGTGACCATCAGTTGGGACGATTTCTATATACGTTGTTTCCCATAATAGGCAAACGCTCCAGCCTTGCAACGTGACCATTCCTTACCTTCCTCCATCTTGAGCATCGCGCTTTCATTCCTCATTTGTGAACATGACGGCTCTTCATCAATCATCATGTTATCATCCAATTCCATCTTCACTGGGACAACCACTGGAACATACTTCCCTGGTTCTTTGTAGCTCGGATGTTGTTGTTGTAACGTATGTAATCGATTCTCATCCATATCATGTTCCAAACTTTCTTGATTGCGCTCACAATTTCCGGAACGCTCACAAACGTCATTATTAAAGGGCGATGATAGACCTGGAGAGCTACTAATGATATCCACGTGACCCTCCTCATCGTCTGTCAGGCTTCCATCATCATAGCACCGTTGTCTTTGATCATTTGAATCATCTGGTTGCTCTTCTCTCCCTTCCGCATCAGCCGCTGATTTGTATTTGAAATAGTCTGCAGTACAAATTTTTGTTTGATGTTATAAAAAATCATTTGATATTACTACTAACATTATAAAAGTCCTAACCTTGAAGACTTTTGTGCGTCTTTCCTGTTTCGTTATTAAGCTTTTGCAATTGTATACCAACACCTAATTAACAGCAACAACTTTAAGGTCTTTTTTTATCTGGTTAAGATAGCATACAAGACAAGACAAGACCGACCTCTGATTTCCACACAACTGCACCCAAACTGTTTTAGTAATACCAAGCATTCGTTCCAGATAAGCTCAAAACTATCCGTGTAATAGGCAAAAGTTTTTGATTTCGAAAAATTATCGCAGTCTCCACAACCAAGTAACTTTTGTGGCGCTCCTGCTTCGGGCTTCCGCAATTTGATCTGGCATAAATATGGACTTGGTAAACAGAAACAATTACTCGCGTTGTCATTGGAATAAATTTTTATCTCACCTTTAAAGTTACTGATTTAGTCTTTAGATTCACGTCCTTAAGCCGCTTAACAACTTCTTTACATAATTCATAAAGAAATTTCTAAATAAGATAAATAAATTTTAACACAATATTCACGAGACGATGCATAAACCACTACCACTTTTGTTAATTTACCTCGACCTGTCCATCATTTTCAAATCTCACGCCCCAGGCAACTTCGGCTGAAACGCTTCTTCTAGGGCTATCCATTTGTATTAACCTTTTATCTATTCCTCTGGCAAAATTGTATAGGTTTTTTACCAGCTTTGGGTCCAAATTCTGTCTGCAATTCAGTCATAGTTAAATTTCTAAGATCTGCTATTGTGACTACTCCCTACAGAAAACATAATTTCTAACATGAGATGTGCAAACAAGTCTATATGGAATATGATAAACAGTCAAATTACTTTTTCCCCTAATCTTTGCGATATTGACGAGCCTACGCTCGGTAGGATGTCTACATTTTGATTTTCTAGAAATTCGTCAATATAATCATCTTTTATATAAAATTGACCGCATGGTTTAGCATAAGTTGTGGCCATCCTGTCAACACGTATACAAATTCAACGTCAAAAAGCTAAACACGATTAGCGAACAAACTCATCAAAACTTACTTTGCCAATAAGATATTCTTTGCAATACCGATGCTCGCATCGCATCGAGTTTCACTCTTAATTTCTTTTCTTAGCTTCATGGCAAATTCCTCTGCATCTCCGCCATAGTCCTCTCTGACTGTGCGTCCGACTTCTATCAAAGCCTCATCTATGCTGATCGCCTGCAATTCTGTGGCATGCTTTATTAAAATCTCATAGAACTTAAGGCTCACAGCGTGATACTTCTCAAATTCATATGGAATCATTGTCAGGTTTGGACATAATTTCTGCGCTTCTCCAGCGCTTATAAGTGAAAATTTTTGGATAGTTTATTTCACGAATGATCGTGCTCAAAGTCACCAATAATTTGAATTTGGAAGACTTACTGCATCCCATTCGAGATACCATATGACCGCGCAATATAGTTAGCCGAGGCTATTTCGCTAGAGGAATCTATCTTAGTTGAGGTGCCTTTCGCATGACATACGCCCACCTTTTGGATAAGTAATTCAAAATTATTAAAAATATTATGTATTATAAATGTGTGACATTCACGTTACCGGCTTATTTATTAAATTCGGACGGTCTAGCAAACCGACCGAGACGAAGAATGCATCGAAATCGACGTGCCTTCATCAAGAATCACCAATCATGAAGATGTCAGTCATTACTTGTAATGAAAAACTGGTGCAACGTGTCTTCAATACCAAATGCACGTACATCACAATTTGATCCTCA